GGGGGGAGGGGGAGGAAAAAAAAAAAGAAAAACCACTAATTAGAAATATTGAATCCTTTTTACCCTTACTTTCTTCATTTTGTAAAGTTACGGAGGTGGATCTTCGGCTGTAAAAAGCCCACGGGCGGGATGCTAACCGGGCCGGGGGTTGGATGTGCGAACACCACCGACCCCCCTACCTCCTCGCCCCTTCTCCAAATTCAGCCCCGGGGCTGAGCCCCCTCCTCAGCGCCGGCGGAGCTCCGCCGCCACCGGCATCGATCAACCGCGCCTCCGCCGGGCGCTCGCCGGGCTATAGACACCATTGTCGGAATCGACTTTATTCCGCGCACAGAAGGGAAAAGGGGAAGGAAAATGTCCTGGGAGGCAGAGGGATGCCCGGCGTGTGGGCTACTGAAACCTGCGAGAAGTCGCCAGTCCCAACCTCGGCGGCTGGGAACGCCGGCGGCTCGGTGCAGCCTCCGTTAAGCGGCGTGGGAAGCAGGGCTGCGGCGAGCACCGGCACCCGGCACCGGAGCGTTTCGCTTGAAAATAAACCAACCCGGGGGCTCTGAGCCTCTGCTGATGTCCCCGTCCCTCCCAAACCCCGGTGATGCCCTTCCGAAATGGGCAGTGATGGCGAACGTGACCCCTTTCCCCTGCAACACCCCCCCTCATCCCCATCACTCTCCTGTTACGTTCGTGGAAATTCCAAAGTGTAAATCAAAAAAAGGGGGGAGGGAAAATAAATGGCCCAAGCTTGTGATAATTTAAATTGGCTGGAAACACTGTACGGACGTAAAGATGGAAAGTTGCACTTTCTCCACCGCCAAACGCTAATTAGCTCAGGCAGCCCATGGGGGGTGGGGGAAAGGAAAATAATCTCAATTTTCCCCTTGTTTATGGCGCTTTTTTCTTTCCCCTGAAAACGTTACTGCCTGGGGTAGGAAAGTTAGCAGCGGGTGGAAACTCCCTCTCGGAGGACGAGGGTTGTTTACGGTTTTACACCGCGCCGATGACGAGCGGCGGTGATCTCCCAGCCCGGGGGAACCGGGGCGGGCAGGGAATTAGGCAGGGAGCGAGTTAGGCAGGGAGGCGGGCAGGCATTCCTCGGCGCAGGCAGGCAGGCACC